TGGAAACTAGTGGGATTTTTTAAAACCATTTATAAAACCAAAACTTTTAAAACACAGCAACCAAAAAGTATTTTGGTACAGAGGGATTTTTTCCCCAAAAACTTCATTACTAGGGGAAAAAGGGTTTGGGAAACCCCCGGGAGGGCCCTATTAGTATGAAAAATAGACCCGCTGCAGTTTCCTCAATTTTTTGCGCTGTATTAGTGGTTCCCGTTCCTGCTACGGGCCTCCAGACCTTTTACAAAATTACCCCTTTAGCAGTATTTCTACTTTCCCTTCTCATGTTTCAGCTTCAATTTTTCCAGATATGAAAACGAAAATTTCCGGTGGGGGAACCCGACCTCCCAACACCCATTTCTCCAAAGTTGGACTGGTTTTCGTAACTTTGCGACTATCCTGCGCCCCCTGTATTTGACGAAGAAGCTACTTGTAGGGGGCAAAAGTTTCAATGAACAATGAAAATTTCCCAAACCCGTTGCCTGTCCTTTCTCATGAGGGAAAACAGAACACATTTCAGTGGCTTTGCTTTGCCCTTTTGCCCCTTTGGAGGGTTTTTTGGGGGTTTAAACCCCCCGGGTTTGGGGCCCCGGGCCTTGAACCCGTCATGTTAATCCTTGTATTTCTTGGTTGTTTCTTAAAATTTTCTGAATAAAAAATTTTCCTTTCCCAAACCATTTTTAAAATCAATATTAAGCCAATTTGTCCCTGGTTTTCTCTCTCCCCTTCTCTCTCTCCGCTTCCCAAAGATTCACCCCGAGCAATTCTGTTTGAATCACAGTACGGGGAGTCTCTTTGTGGAATTTTTAAAAAAAAAGTATGACTTCAGAAAGGGAAAAAATTTCGCATTCAAAGGGAAAAACTTTTGTTTTGAAATGCAGTAAGGAAAAAAAACTAGATGGAAAAACCCGTGAAAGAAAAAGGGGTTTTGTAGCTGGATAAAATTTCCGGAAAGGGGCCCAGAAGGGAAAATTAAAAACCAGATTTTTAAACAGCAAAAAACAGACCATGGCTCTTCCTGGGTGCAGAAAGGTTTAAAAGTTTCAAGTGCAAGGCATAGAAAAAAATTTCGGGGGAAAGGGGAAGAACGAAAGAAAACCAAGGGGAAACAAGAGATAAGCAAAAAAAAATTAAAAAAAAGTTTTGAAATGGAAAAGGCTATTTAAAAGGGCCCAAATTTGGGAAGTTACAGCATTGAAATCCAAAACAGAATCAAAAATTGCTATAAAAACTTTTCAGGAAGAAGAAAAACAGAAAAAGACAGGTTTTTCAGGCTGGAAAAAAAAAAAAGAAAAGGGTCAAAAAGAAACCCCGGGGGAAAAATCTTTTAGATGGTTAAAATTTTTAAAAAAAGGAATTCTCGGAGGGGAAAAAAGGGGGAAAAGCTAGAAACCAAAAAAGGAGGAGTTTGTCCAATATGGACGCAGTCCCCTACAATTTGAGGGAAAAAGGTGAAGCAACTATTTAGGGTTTGGTTCCTTGATGGCAGAAAGGGCTATATTTTATCTCCTTTGAAATTTTGACAGAGTAAGCTGAAACTTTTTATTTAAAAGACCCGGCCCTTTTTTCAAGTCAAAAAGGGTTTTTGGGACAGACAGGAAATATTTTAAAATTTCAGGTTTGGTTTTTCTAAAATTGATGGTTGGGAGGCTATATTTTTTTATCAAAAGAAAAAGTTTAAAGGCCCCACTGGAAAGGAGCCGGGGTTTTTAAAAAAACCCCGAACGGAAATTTTGAGGAGGAAGAGGGAATTTTCTGCCATTCTTTGACAAGGGTAATTGTGAGGCAAAAAAGGGGATTGGGTAGACTGCATAAAATTTTGAGCTGTTAAAAAATGCTTTTTGGGAAATCACCCGGGAAAAGAAGCAGAGGGAGGGGGAGTCAGAAAAAAACCGAAAGGTTTTTACAGTGGATCCGAGAGTTCTTAAGTCACAAGAATGTTATGGAATACCTCTGTAGTCTCATTATAGACAGGAAGGACCTGGTCAGCTAATTAATAGAGACAGGATCCAATAAGGGCTTTTAAATATAAGTTACTAAAGGGATCATGAAATAGTGTGTATCCATTAGCGTCCAACAGGAGAGGCAGAACCAGGAACTTGAGCTGAAACTCGACCCCTGCAACCACACATAAGAAAGTACAGATAAATAAGCACATTTTTCCAACCACTACCTTCCTTTCATTTCCTGACGCTTGGTCGTCTTAATGTGGTGGCGAGGTTGAAGCGGCGATCTCAAAGGGTTCGGGTTCCTCCGAGAAAGAGGCGCTAATTGCCCACGGGACCTACCCCTCTTCAACTATTTTAAGCTTTTCAATAATCTTTAACACTGTGTGCTATCTTCAGAAAGGTGGGTAATATCTAGTGATTACTCGCCAGACCCTACCCAGGAAACTTTTTTTTTTGTCTACGCACATAGCGTTACAGTGGCTCGTGACCTGGTGGCAAGAGCTCTCGCTTCACACGCTGAGCCTCGGGGTTCGATTCCCGGCAAGGGTGGAGACATTGGGAGTCTTTCATTACACTGATTGTCCGTGTTCACATATCAGTTAAAATGGGTACCTGGGTGTTAGTCATCTCGTGTGGGTTGCATCCTGGGACAAAACTGACCTAATCTGCCCTAATTGTTCTGCATAATAAGTGTCTTTCTATGTAGTAGTATGTCATTGACGTCAGCTAGGCCTGTATAACTTGTACATGTACTTGTAGAAATAAATATTGTTTACGATGGATGAGTAAGCACACAAAGCTCTCTTAGCTGTCCGTGTAACTCGACGTGCGTGCACTCTAACTTGTAAACTGAAAAACGGTTTATAGTACGGGTAAAATGATAGCCCAGTGCAGCTAATTTCTAACAAATGGGATTATAGCAGTCGGGAGATGATAGGGAGACACATTTTTCAAAATGTTTACCCGAGGTTCTGGAAATAGCAATCATAGCCGCAGAGAGAACAGTGGAAGTGAAAAGCTGTAACATGTTACTTGCTGAAGAAATCAGGAAGGATGCACAAGAAAGAGATACGTCGTGCATAAAGCATCCAATTTCCACGTTCATATTGCCACCGGGATTAATGAGGAAGTAGGGCACAAAATAGGGAAGTAATGAGAGTAGGGAAATGATCTCTGTCTTGGAAATCAATTAATTCCCTTCAGTTGCACTCCAGTGCTATGGACTAGATGCAGAGGAATAGATCTATACAAAATTTGATGAAGTGGGTATTAAAGATATTAATGGGATTTTCGAAAGTCAAAATGCGACACTTCTCAGACAAATGACGAGTTGAAATCGCCTAATAAAAGAGCGGCATAGGTAGGGTCGGGATGTAAATAAAACCCGAGAGTCAGTTAAAGAGAAGGGAAATACGGGAAAGACATATAAAGAGCAGCCAACGTACCACTTGTCTAAATAGACACGGTCTGTGGTATAGTGAAGTGGGGCATGAATGGACATTCGAGAAAGTCTAATATCATTGCAAAACAGAAGTGCACTTTTGTTGTATAATGCATCAGGATAAGAGTCAAGTGACTTAAAAAAAACATAGCTAGAGGCAGAAGGTCATACTGTTGCGTTATTTAGGTTAATGCCAACAATAAAATATCGGGGGGAAAGGGGGAAATCATAGTTATAAGTTCTGCCCGATTCCCCATGTATCCTTGTAAAATTGACATGTATAGTGGAAAATGGTGGCTAAGGATTAGGGGGCTTGGCAAAGTCTATATAGGGTAGAAGAGCAAGGTAAGAAGGGATTTGTATATAATGGATGGTTAGTGTTAGAAGTAAAGTGTGTTTGCGTTCGTTGAGTGTAGACTCACTGTAGTCGGTAGCGATGCAGAGAGGGAGAGTATAAAAAATGAGATTTTTAAGGTGAAGATAACGTATTATCAGACTCAGTCAGCAGCCACATGGTAGTGGCTTTCTTTCGTGCCAAACAAAATTTTATATGCAAACTACAAGACCTGCTACTGGGGGAAATTAAATAAAATTTTTTTGTTTTTAGTCAAAAACAGTCGAACATTGTTCAATAAAAGCTTCTCTGCAAAATCTTGAAAGGGAATTAACATTTTTCGACAATGGATATTATTTTGGTGTATTCGTGAAAAGCTAAATCGTATATCATGAAAAATTCGATTAAAGTGGGAAACAGGTGGACTTAGTGTTAATGTGGTATGTGCTTAGTTTGTATGAAGGGGAAAAATACCGAAAGTTTGGCATAAGAAAATTTAGTTCCTCGCTGAAGGGGAAAAAAAATAGTAAAAAGAATTTTACGTAATACGGGGGGGAAAATAAAAACAATGAACGCATGCAAATGTATGAGAGCATTGATGGTAGTGACTGGGAAGACAAAAAATGTCCTGTATGAAGAGAGTAAATTCAAAAAGGGAAAGGAGATGTATAAATCAACAGTGAAGAAGAAGTTGCATTTATGGATTTTAAAAACTGAAAAAAGAAAGTAGATGAAGAAGGGGATATGGATGGTATAAAAAATGGAAAAAGTAATAAGTTAAAAAACATTAACGGTTTTGTAGGAGAGCGAGCAAAGAATAGGTTTTATAGTAAATAGAAAATTTAAAATAAATGTTTGCCGTCAAAAAACCCCCCCTTTTTAACAGACGTTGCAAGAGAAAAAAAAATTTTTATGTATGTTGTAGAAGTGGTTGAAAGAGATAATTAATCAAAGTGGGGTTGTCACATTTCTGTTGTAAAACCACACTGCTATTGAGGATTCAGGAATGAAGCTGAGGAAATTTTTAGGAGAAAGCAGTAAAGTTTTCTTGCCTGTACACCCTGTCTTTGGGAAAAAGGGGGACAAAGGGATTAGAGAAAATAATGCCATTATTCCCCAATTTAAACTAAATTTTTTCCCCTGTGCTACAGACGCAGTGGCGTCGTGGCAAGATGTGTGAGAGAGAGACCCGAGGTAGAGCGTTTTAAAGAGGCTGGCTCGACGGTAAGTATGAACATGGATCATGCAGAAAACATGCTAATGCAAGTCTCAAGCAAAAATGAGGTAAAGTGTAAGGCAATAAAAATTTGTACTGCACTACTGTTTTTTTTATAGATAACAGAAGGCCCTTTAAAGACCACATAAGGCTGAGAGGGACAACCCCCGTTCGGCTACTTTTAGGCAAGCATTGTATAGCAAAAAGTCTTACTGCCCTCCTTCTCTCCGACCACACAGTGAAATTTTCTCGGTAAACTGAATACTCCATTTCCCGGCGCCGTAGACCCGTACGGTTTTGGGTTTCCTATGAATAAAAATTCTGCATTTTTGGACTTCCCATCTTTTAAAACTTGTTCCTTCACCGGATAAAGGCTTGAAAACATTGTTTAGCATCGTCAATAGTACAGCACAACGCTACAGGGAAAAGTAATTTTAAAGAAATTCAGCGTTTGTTTTTTGTTAAGTACTGAACCGGGGGTCTCACACAGCCGGGGGGGGGGGGAAGATGTTAGGATGGCTGAGGAAGGTAAGGTTTTATAAGAGGACCGAGATTAAACAAATGCACGATGCTTTTCCTGGCACCTGGTGTATGACCCCTTTTCGGTTAGGGCTTTGTTTGATTTTAAAAAATCTCACTAGACCCCCATTCCCAGCTCCATTCTTGCTCTTCCTCATCCTCGACCTTCCCACTCCATGACTCTTCCCATAGCCCTTTGGGCCCGGTATCTGTGGTGACTTTCATACTTCCCGGGGGAGCGGCGCTGCCTTGGCCCTCTCCGGCCCCTTGACCTGGGGCCCCGAATAATGGCCCCCCTCGGCATCAGTCCCTTAAACTTGCCGGAAAGGACATGACGGTAGTCAGACTTCAGAACACTAAAATCCCGAACATCGAAAATGAAGCAATGATAAAAAAAGTAAAAACACCATATATAACGCGGGAAAAAAAGGCCCCTAACAAACTTTTATTTGCATTTCCTTGTTTTCTTCGATCGTGACTAAAAAAAACTCTTGTTCTCAGAACTTTTTTTTTTCTTTATTTTGAAAAAAATGCAAATTGGTACGTTATTATTTGTAAAGAATATGAAAAATGGCACAAAAATTTCGATGAACTTGGTCAGTACAATAATAACCCCACGATAAAGCAAAATGCAAAACGATACTGGCATATCGGAAAAGAACATTTTTCTCCAAAATTTAGGTTCATCATCTTTCCACCCGAGTTTTTAAAAATTGGCAGTTTGCCATGATATAACCCCAACAGGGGCTGTTATTCAAGCATTATTTGTTTTTTTTCCTTAAAAGTGACCATAACTGTAGGTTAAAATACAAGACGATTTTAAAAATATTGGGTGGGCGCAGAATCGGCCGTGATTAGAAAAATGATGACCGAGATTTTTGATTTTGAAGTTTGGACACTTATGCAGCATAGGGAACTTTATTCAGGAAAACGTTTCGCCACCAGTGGCTTTCGTCCAATACAAAGAGGAAGGCGTAAGGAAAGGGGGGTATGAGGTAATCGTCCTCGCTGGGTGATGTGTTCAGCCATCTTTGTAAAAGTACGCTGGGGCCGTAGACGTGGTTAATACTGTAGTGGGTGACTTGAAGCAGCGGAGGCGGGTCATGGGGTATCACCCCAATAGTCGAAGTAGGTCTTTGCCCAAAGGTTGAAAAAAGGTTGAAAAATTTTTTGTAAAAAGACCCCCATGTGCTGCAGTGTTGACGTTGTGATGTGGTTTGAAAAACCGAAAGTTGAAGATTGGAATTAAGCATTTAAGTGTTCAATCTTCAATTGTCGGTTTTTTAAACCAATCAAATCTTTTTGTTCTTGCGAGGAAGGGCCAGTGATTTAAGCACGTGAACTATAACAATTAAAATCCCCAAACAAATAAAACTCACTAAAAAAATTCTGTTCTTTGGGAGTTCTGTACTTGGGGCGCTGGTGGGAACGTGGATCTCTGGGTGGGGTGGCTAAAATAGGGGCTCCGTCCTTTTCAGGTCATCGTGGTACGTAAGTGGGTGGTGGCTAATTGTGCACTCGCCCCTACCACACCCCGTTCTATCTTGGGGGGTATCGAGGGTAAGCAAAGAATAAGACCATGTTTTTACAATTTTTTTTAGAGGCACAAAAAATAGTAGCCCCCTGGGCCCAAAAGGAGGCAGAAAAGAAAAAAGTTTTTAACTGATTAAAACCCTACCCCGGACGGGGTTTGAAAATGCGATCAGAGAGTTCAAACTCAAAAGCCCAGTGGCTAACCGACGGTCTGGGGGTTTTGAGGGTCTCTGATAGGGTTTTTTCCCGTCCGTGGTATGGTTTGTTTGCAAACGTTTTTATTCGATTTTGGAGTCATTGTTGACGGGTTTGAGGGGATTGAGTGAGTTCGTCACGGCCAGTAGCTGGGGGATTGTTGTAAAAATTGATTCGTGGTCCCCGGGCCTATGCTAACCCTTCCAAAGGTGTTAAATATATTTTGTTGATGAATTTTTTGGGTAGCTGGCCCAGTGGCTAAGCGACGGTTGGGTTTTTAGACTCTCTGATCGCGGGTTCTATCTCATCCCTGGTATGGTTTTTTTTTTCAATGTGTCATTTCGATTTCGTGAGTTATAACTGGAAGTTAGGGAGAAAGATTGTGTAGTGATAGAATGAGAGAAAGATAAAAGTGTTTTCCCCAAATGTGGGGAGAAAATGTGCTGTAATGACAGAGGGGGTAACGTGTAATGCAGAAATAACTTGTAACTGACAGAAATAACTTGTAACTGACAGATAACGTGAAACTAACAGAAAGATAACGTGTAATTGACAAAGATAACGTGACACTGGCAGAATTAAATAACTTGTAACTGACAGATTGTGATGGAGAAAGATAACTTGTAACTGAGACTAATGAGAAAGATAACGTTTAAGTGAGAAAGGTTACAAGATAATAACACCTACTAGGGCATAGTCTCAGTGTTGTCTTTCTACTAACCAGTTTTGCTAATAAAGACAGAAAAGTTCACAGTTTATTGAAATATTTCTCCCAACGAAGAAAAGCCAGTTACAATGAGTTGCTAATCATTGTTTTCCTCCTGCAGATTCATCATTGGTGTAGCCCGTGGTGGAACCACCATCGCTGGCTACAATTACGTGATTGAGTTGTCTGACGTGAGCATCCGGGGCATGGCAGCTACTCTTCCGACCATGGGTGTGGTGTTGGGTGGCCTCTATACTGCTGTACTAGGGTACGCCTTCAGTTGGTACGCTCTCAGCTTTCTCTGCGCGGTGCCTTCCTTCTTATTCTTTCTGATGACTTTCATCCTTCCACCATCTCCGTCTTTCCTAATAGTGAGTGGTCGACGCCAGCAAGCTATCGCTATCTTGAAACTTTTGAGGGGAACCTACGCTGATGTCGAAGGCGAGGTTGCAGAGTTGGAACGTCGCAACGCCGTCAACACCGATGGCAAGAGCGTTGGCTGGCGTGACCTGTTGAAAAAGGAAGTGTTGCGACAAATAATTGTAGTTGTAGTTCTCTTCTTCCTAATGCAGATGTGTGGAAACTTTGTCTTAATGGTGTACACAGCGCGGATCCTTGAAGCAACCGGGGCGCCCATGGATCCCGATGCCATTACTGCCATCGCTGCAGCCCTAAAGGTGGCTGGCGCACTGGCTGCCATCCTGCTGCTAGACGTCATTGGGCGGCGATACCTGCTCGTTATTACACATGCAAATCAACGCTGTTTGCCTCATCGTCCTGGGTGCATATGCCCACCTGGCTGATAATGCCGATCCAGACGACACCACTTACACAGAGTAAGTGGCTATTTTTCCCTGAAATGTAAGGAGAGGGAATCAAATAGAAGAAATATTTTTCATCTTTCTATATCGGATATTTCACATGCGTGAGCAATCTTGTTTTGTGAAAAAGTTATTTGATAAATCTTGTATCAATCTAAAACCGCTGTAGTTCATGTAAAAAATAATGAATATTCCTTGAAATTGGAATATGTTAGTGTACGTGGGGATTTAATGTAGTTTAATAATCCATAACAATTTCGTTCACCCGAAAAAATAATTGCGTTTATCCTTCAGACTTTAATAAGATGAAAGCGATAGGATTGAAAAGTTATTTCCTTTGTTGCAGCATGACGTGGTTGCCAACTGTGTGCGTGACGATGGCGCTCTTCATCTGCGACATCGGCGTTCATCCCATTCCTTTTATCGTGGCATCAGAATACTTCCCCACCAACATCCGTTCCCAGGTAAATTCCCAGTTTGAAAAACAAACAGTAGGAGAAAATAGTTACTGGCTGAAAAGTCAAACTGCGTTTTCTTATTTCAGCTTGAAATAAACATGAACCTCCCAGTCATATTCTATATATTTAAAAATCAGAAAATTATTACAGATCATTGTTTAGTAAACTAAGCATTCTATTAAAACCTTTGTTCATTATCATCCCATGTAACAGTAATTCCTCTTCTACTGGAACATAACGTTTTGAAATTCTACTAGCTACTTAATCCACATTGGAATATTGCAACGATATTTTCACCACCCTTAATTAAGGTTTGCGAAGTGACCCTCTGATTAAACATCTGGTGGCCATCTGTTAGGACCACTGATGACTACTGGAAGTTGCCTATAGATAGGTCCAAGAGTGACAGTTGACAGTGTATGACTGCTTTATTTGTTGTTCATCCGCTGCAGTTATTAGCTGGAATATGATTACACAGTTAGCGCTTTTGACTGAATAAATGGTTCACTAAACCTTCATTAGTCAATACTGGAGGTACTATCCTGGTGTTGTATACCAGGAAGGGCAAGAAATGGCTTTTCATAATTTACAAGCTACCCAGAAATATGTCTACCCATATTACATCCCACTTTGTATACGACAACCGTTTTGTTGTATTTCTGGCAAGCATAAGTTGTTTTTAGTTGGCTCTTTGGTAACACTTGACATTCAGACCAACAAACACTCAATTGCTCTGTCCACTATTTAGAATTTGCCAGTCTTCCACGGAGGGACCTATTTCAGACTATTTTTCAGAACACTCAACTTTGAAACTGCTGTCAGCAATACTTGTCCAAGTATGAGGGTAATAAAGTGTTTTCCATCACTACCATTGGGATCCAGATAATCTTTCTCCTGCTGTTGAGAATGGGAAACCACGCTCACTAATCAGAACATGCATAATTCACTGTCAACATCTTTAACACCCAGATGCACACTAACTGACCTAGCCTCCAGTACTAACTCTTTAAGATATTTTTACAGAAATTAACCCATGGCACCAACTTAAGAGACAGATTTGGCTCTCATAATAACCACCGTCCCATACACATAATCACACATTAGCGCTGGCTGACGACATCATATTTAGTACTTATTATTTTAATATAGCAAATACACCAGGAGCACATCAGTACGCCTAATAACCTATTGATGATATGTTCCATTCACACCCAAGATGTCCTGATACTGATTTTTGACCCCGGGGGTTTAATAACACGGGAAGCTCGAGAAATTACAGCAATATGATAATGGTATAAAATACCGACAGGTATGGATTATGGAAATAAAAGGACCCCAATGGAAATAAGCCACTGACTTTTTTGGTTTATCCTAGGTTCTCTACACACATGCTGCTATGTATGATAATCTGTGTAACTGTATTTGTGTATACCTGAATAAACTAACTTACTAGGTTTATACGACACACGTGCAACAATTAGGTATCTTTATTCCGAAAAGTTTCGCCTACACAGTAGGCTTCTTCAGTCGAGTACAAAAGAGTTAGCAGAAGCAGTAGAGATGTGAAGACGGTGTAATCCGCCCCTCACCCATGAAGACTACCTAACTGTTGCACATGTCTTACTTATAAAAAAAAAGTACCTAACTGTGGAAAATTGCATTTATCTGTATGTATAATTATGTACATAACAATAAATGAACATAGATAATTATTATTTATCAGTTAGACAAGTAGGAATTTGGGACACCTAGGTCGCAAAAATGTCCCCCTTCGATACCTACCACTGTCATATCCACAAGTTGCTCTGGACCTATTAGCTGTATAGTCCTTGTGGCTTAGCGCTTCTTTTTGATTATAATAATAATCTGGACCTATTAATTAAATTAATTATACATCACCAGGAATTCTGGTAAATATATAAATTTGTGGACTGTATATTAAATTAAAAAATTATTATATATAAATACACATATACATAACAGAAGGAAAATATATCTTAATATCACTCACCAATTTGACTGGATATTAAGTTGTATCATACTCAGAAAAACCTCACTAACTAAATTTATGAAAATAATGCTGCCAGAATTACACACAAATCTAGAGAGCTTATCTGAGGTTCCTGGAGCTGTCTTGTCCAGTCGTCTGAGATCTCTAGAGTACGAAAATTCTTCACCATTCACCAACGTTTCTAACACAAATTAAAAAACCAAGATGGCGAGTCTGCTTCTGCGCAGGCGCAGCTTCCCGTTTTCGATTACATAAATTTTAAATGCAGTATGGCCATCTATTTACATTTAATAACTACTGTATTTCTGGAAAATATGTACAGTATTTTCCACACTGCGGCCGGGCGGAGTTCGTTGCTAAATGACTCAAATTGCTCATTTGACAATGGTGAAGGACCTGGGTACATATAGGATCTGGCATCCACATGGTGACATATTACACAAGATTTAATCACCTTTCTTACACTTTGCCGATCTTGTGGAATCCAGAAAGTTTCCCTAATACAATTTAAGGTATCTTGTACCCCACCATGCATTGCATTTTTATGGGCATTTAGCACAATTAAATTTGTTTGATGATGAGTTTTGGGCAGCAAGATAGGGTGTTTAGCATAATCAACCCAATTCAGCATTTTGTAACCTACCTCTGCACCTAATTACATTGTTCTATAAATACAGCCCCAAATTTTCTCTTTTAATGGAACCTTTCACAATTTTACTTTCCATCATAAATTTTAAATCTCATTTCCATGGGATTTTCTCCTGTGCCCTCTTTATCCAAATATTCAAGAGGATGTGAAAATTTTAAATGAAATATTCATCTTGTTTAGAAATTTAAAAACACCAATTTAAATTTAAACATTGATTAGTTTGGGTAAAAAAAGAATACCTATTTATATCAATGGCTAAGGGAGGACAAACTACTGGAGCGGTGGTCACAGTAATTTCAAAGGAGAAATATACGCCTTTTGTAATGCCAATTAGCTTTATTTACCAACCAGCTCAGTCCTTTAAACCATGATAAGCATTTCCCAATTTAGCATAAGGAAAAACCTCGAGACAAGAAATCAGCTGGATTCTTCTCACCAGGTATATGATTAAATGTTAACATATGCTGACCCAAACTATTACACTTCTCTTGCATCTGATTAATTTATCAGAAAACTCTTTTTTGTACTTACACAATTTTTACTGTTTCCATTATGAATCCATTGTAAAGATACCTCATTATCAGACCAAATTACAGTGTCGCTAATATTTATCTCCTGCAACTTATTTCTTATATAATTAGCTAATTTGACACCTACATAAATGCCTGTTAATTCCAACTGAGGCAAGGTACGTGATTTAATTGGAGACACTTTAGCCTTAGACATAACAAGAGAAATAACACTATTACATTGAAGGTAAGCAACTGTCCTTTTTGCCAATTTAGAAGCATCACAAAAATGTGGAGTACATTTTTCCCATTTGGATTGGCCACCTGGCGGGGAACTCCAACTTTGGGAATTTTTTTCAAAATTTCACCAATTAATTATCCCACCTGTTAATGAATCCCTAAGGTAGAATTTCATCCCAAGCACATTTAAGTTTCATTGTTTTCCTAAATTTAAATTTAATTTCCCTCTTATAGTAAGGGGTGACATAAACCTAGTGGATCAAAACATCTGTAAACTTCAGCAAGCAAAAACTCTCTTATTTAATTTACTGGGATACTGTAATTATTAGGTTTTAACATTAACAAATATCTCTCAGTATCCCAATTTAAACCCAATACATTACTACATTTTGGGCACTTCATCTCCAGGTAATCTTTACTTATTTTGTCCTTCAATTTGGACGAATTACTTTTCCCAATTCTCTCAGAGGCATATTTGCACTTTGCATTATTTTATTAGCCTCTCCATAAGTCATTAACAGTTCCTCTTCAGTTGACGCCCCCACCCAGGAAATTGTCCACATAAAATTGTTTGCTCATTACTTTACTCAATGGACTTCCCGTACATTTAAGGTGTGCATTTATCGTCGCTTGAAGTGGAATGGACTGGATTTTAGCCCCAATAATACACTCCTAAAGCGAAAGGTTTTCAGAGGGTAAGTGAGTCAATAGGATTCTCAGGCCTTTAAGAAGTGGGTACAATCCCGGTCAGCCTTTGTAAACCCACTCTTAGGAAAGCTTTACTTATGTCAGCCGAAAAAGGCATAATGCTTCACTCTGAAATTTAATAAGATTTTCTCCTAATTTTTCCGTCAACGACGACCTGTCATTTAAACAGTCATTTTAAACTAGGTACATTTTTGTTACTCCTGGCACTACAATTAAACACAATCCTCAAAGGAGTGGTCTTAGAATCCTTCTTCACTCCGTGATGTGGTAAATAGTGACCATTAATTCTGGGTTGCTCAGGAGGTACCTCTTCTATAAATTTATTAATTAATTGTTCAGCAATTATATCATTATAGGCAGTTAACAATTCTGGTGTCTTACTCAGTTCGCGGAGCTGAACCTTTAATTGTCCATATGCCATTCTGTAATTAGTGGGCAATTCTGGATGGTTCAGTCTCTACGGAAGTCGTACCCAGTATTGTCCAGATTCAAATTTTACATCTTTCAGGTACTGCTTCTGAGTAAAAGAATCGTCTGGACCTTCTTCACTTACATTTATTCCAATGCTGTCTAATTCCCACAATTTATGCACTGGCTCAACACCATCCTCTATGGAAGAATTATACTGGGGTAGAACTTCATGAGTAAGACACAGTTATGGTATTTGTAGTTTCCTCTAGTCATGAATTATTATTACGAGGAATCCTACCATACATTACATGGCCTCCTGCAGTCTTCAAAAGGGTGACACCACATTTCTTTACCATACCCTTTACAAAGGAGGCATAATAGTCACTACCTATCAAAATATTTATTGGGTCTACAGAATCATCACTTGCACCAGAAGGTGCTGAATTTACATTATGTGAAAGTCTTTCTGTAGCTTTACTAAGCCCCTGGGAGGCCTGGTCATGGACCGGGCCGCGGGGGCGTTGATCCCCGGAATAACCTCCAGGTAACCTACTGTAGATATTTTCTC